CTTTTACAAGTTAATTGTCCTTAGTTTCAAAGCAGAACACTGAAGCACTAACTTTTGAAAGTGTTACCTGAAAATATTTTTCCCTGTCCTGAGCTATCTGCTAATTGTGTTGGAATATGACTTTAGTCTGAAGCTGCATTTTCCTTTAACTATCATGAAAATATGAGATTATTCACATGAAATGGTCTCCCTCCTCCCTCCACCCCCATTCAGGAAGCATTCAGTAGTTGAAGCTCAAGTGCAAGTAAACTCTCTATGTGAAGAGTGGTGCCAAGCTTTGCCTGTTAGTGTTTAACTGGTGGCATAAATAAATTTAGTTTTTGAAAAGCTGTATTTATTTTCATGAAAAAAAATCACATTAAAATTATAGGGCTTATTAAACTAATAGCAAATAAAATTAACTATGGGCTTATTAGATTTTTTTTAACTTACTCAGATATGGACTGTGGTTGTGTATAAGCATCTTGTGGTATTCTTCTACATTTCACATAGTGCCAAAGAAGGCCAGCCTGACTTTCTCATCGTGTCAAGAGTTACACATTATTCAGCGTTAACTTCAGATTAATTTGTGGCAAACTTTCATGTTCTAAAAAAAAAAAAAGTATCCCAAAATGACTCCTAGTTTTGCTCATAGCCGTAGGTGTAGCTAGCTAAGATATGGTGGCTGAAGGGCTCCAACAACAAAACCCCAAACTATAAAACTAAAAGATCATTTCAGACCACTTACCTTGCGTCATCCGAGAGTCCAAAATGATTTAGTTCTTACCAATGCATTTAAAAAAAGAACACAGAGGATCAAGTTCTGGCACTGAAAACTTAATAATTAATATATTTGAAAAAAATGTTGATAAATTATTAATAAGATGATCGTGGTTGTCGATACTCATGTCAGTACTGGAGTGAATGGAAACTAATATCTTTGAAGCATTTTTGTTTAAAGGAATTGTCTTTTGAGATGAAACCAATGAGAGCAAACTTCGAATTCTGAGTTTTACAGAGGGGCAAAAGTTGGTGTGTTGTTTTTTTTTTGTAATTTGCAGTGGGAATTTAATGGGCATTGAAGTAATAAGGCTCCTGAGCCCACATTTAAGGAGGGCCATCTTACTGTGTTTGAACCACCACCTTGCTGCTGGAGCCCAGTGCATCGTGCCAGGAACGCAGCATTGCCTTTGCAGTTTGAAGAAATTAATTGTGACACCTTGGCAAGTGATATGAGGGGAAGCCATAGCCGGTTCCTGCTGAGGCTTGCACCTGCCGGTGGTGGTTGGGCTTGCACCTGCCGTTGGCGGTTGGTTCAGGGCAAGAAACTGCTACTTTCCACGCAGCAGAGAAATGTGGTGTTTTGGGAATCACAAAGGATGTGCTCTGAGGGCAGCCTTCTGCTGACAGTGGGTAATGTCACATTCTGAATCTGTTCAGGGAAGAAAAAAAGTCTATGAATTAAAATAGAGAAAAATAAAGAAGGGAATGAGGCAAGATGAAGCCTGCTTACCTTACCTGATGCCTTTGGTATCTGTAGCAGTAAATACTGTAGGACTGCTGAGACGTACATTGACTAAATAGCAATGATTGCTGATGCAGTAAATACCAGGCAAACAGTCCTATAGACTCTGTCCTGTGTCTCTTCCCATATGCAAAAAGGCAAAGATGTAATTCCCTACCTACTTCAAACTGAAAAAACCTAGTTACTAGAAAAGCTGACGATCAGCCTAGTGGAGTTATTTCACTGCAAGAGGGCAACCAGGTCTTTCTTGTTTTTAATAAATGATGGTTGAAGCTGATCAATTGTTAGCAGATTTGAATGGCAGCAGGTTTTTCCTGCTTTTGCCCTCTCACTGGAGCTTGGCCACCATTCAGTTTGCCAAAATACTGTGCACGTAGAGCCCAGGCCTCTGCTGTAGTTCAGGAGAAGGAAGGCTGTTCCTTGCATGTCATATCCTGGAGGAAAATGTTTAAGACCTCGCTGCACAGAAGTCAGTGTTAAGGCAGATGCTTGCAAGGTTGTATTGCCTGTGCTTCTGTCCGTCTCTGTGGTACTGCTGAAGAGATGGGTCAGGGGGAGTTTGCATCCAAGAGAGCAGCCGAGGCAGCTTGAACCTCTCCTGGGAACGTGTTGACAAGCACAGTTCATTTTTGTGGACTGTGCTCTGGTAAAGTTGCAGCAGTGGTGTCCAGTGAAATCTCTGCTCAGGTTTAATCCCCACTTCCATGCCCTCATCCCAGCTAGTCCAAGCACAAGGTGAATTTGGTCCAATAAATTGCTGAAGGCTTTCTCTGTACCTCCTGCACTCAGGGTAGAAAAGAAATATTTTCTACTAGTTTGGAGCAAGAAACTCCTTATGTGAATAATAAGTGTATGTATGTATATATTTGAGTTTTTAAATGCCTGAAACCACATTTTCTTGCGTATTGTTCACCACATCATTTCTTCCTTGCAATTTCAGTGGGTCTTCTCTTGTCTTACCTCCTGCAAAGGAGCCAGAGTTCACAGGGCTGGCAAAGGGCAAGCTGGAATCATTGTCTGTGTGTGCTTGAGAGAAGAGGTAGTCTCATCCCCAAACTTTTAGCTAACTTTTGTTACGTTCTTTTAATGGCACCTGATTAGATTCATCTAAAGAATTAATTTAAAAAGACATTCCTGCATCAGTTGGAGTAATTCTAGCCGATGTGGTGGTGCTGGGTCATAGGCTGGACTTGATGACCTTGAAGGTCTTTTCCAGCCTCAATAATTCTACAATTCTGTAATTAGCCAGGATGTGTTGTGGTCATTGTTGACTTTTTCACCAAATAATACAATCAGATATTTGACCAGAATAAAAAGAAATTAAATGTAGTGGAAGCGATGGAAGTGAGGTAGCTTTGAAGTTGTGGGTTTTGGTTTGAGGTTTTTTTTGCATACAAATACACATACATATAAAAACCACATGTATGTATTTTATAATGCTGTTTACAGTTAATGCTGTGCTACAATGTGGCCATGATAAATTTCTAGCTGAAACATGGTCTCTGTTGCTTACTTCAGCATTTGAAATGCTAGAAATTACAATCACAAAATGGGTTGGGCTGGAAGGGACCTTTAACGGTCATCTAGTCCCACCTCCCTGCAGTGAGCAGGGACATCTTTAACTAGATCAGACTTCTCAGAGCCCCATCAAGCCTAACCTTGAATGTCTCCAGGGATGGGGCCTCCACCACCTCTCTGGGCAACCTGTGTCAGCATTTCACCATCCTCATAGTAAAGAACTTCCTCACATCCAATCTAAATCTGCCCTGCTTTAGTTTAACACCATTGCCCCTCATCCTGTTGCTACACACCCTTGTGAATAGTCCTTCTCCAGCTTCCTGTAGCCCCTATGAGGGCCGCTGTGAGGTGTCCCCGGAACTTTCTCTTCTCCAGGCTGAACAGACCCAACTCTCTCAGGCTATCCTCGTAGCAGAGGTCTTCCAGCCCTTTGATCATTTTTGTGGCACCCCTCCTACAGGTCCACGTCCTTCTTGTGTTGAGGACTCCATTGCTGCATGCAGCACTGCAGGTGGGATCTCACCAGAGCAGAGCAAAGGGGCAGAATCGCATCTCTCGACCTACTTGCCGTGCTTCTGATGCAGCCCAGGATGCTGTTGGCCTTCTGGGTTGTGAGTATACATTGCTGGCTCCTGTTCAGCTTTTTGTCTACCGGTATCCCCAAGTCAAAGAATGTTCATACTTTCAGAAAGCAAAGAAGTTATTCATGTGAGGCTGTATAGGACCTTACAAAATTGTGTCATATATGAACACTTAAAATGTGGATATACACTACTGCTGGAATTGGCAAGGCAAGCTGTAGCAAAATGTGGGACTTGAGTCTTTTGGAAGTGCAGCATGGCTGGACGTTGCAGAGATTATCTGTTTCATCAGAATGGACTTGGAGAGACATATGTGCCTGGCAGCGTTTTTGAAATCAGAAGAGCTTTGGTGTCAGGTTGAATTTGAAATGAGATTCATGCAGCTGAATTAGGATCTGTGCAAAGAAGATGTCTCCCTTCCAGAAGGAAGGATTGGCTGTGTGATTGCAGTTGGCTTTGGCACTCCTGAACACACCCTTCTCATTGCCTGGCAGCTGGATTGCACAGCATAGCTGTGGGTGAGCTGGTATTTACTGCACCGGAGTCACCTGGTGAGGGAGAACAGTGTCACTGTCCAGGGGGGTGCCCTACCAGAAATCCTCGATTACTTTTGAGTAGGAACAAATTAATTAGTTGTGCAGACAGTCTAATTCTCGTCAGTAGTTTTCAAAGTAAACAAATTACGTGAACTTTGCAGACCGGTGCAGACAGCACAGCACTGAGCCCCTCTTGCTGTATGTTGTGAGTACACAGGCAGAGACTGGGGTGGTACAAATCTGCATAACTCTACTGGCAGGAAAAACAGCGATCCAAAAGGTACACAGCAGGCTATGCATACTCCTGTTTGTCTGGAAGCATCTGGAATCCTTTATAGTAGGTGAGGAGTTGCTACTAAAAGAGCCTGAGTTTTGGGTGTTTTTTTTTCCTCCCCTAGCTGTGTGTTGGACTTAAAAGGAGTTGTAAACACCAACATCATCTTCAGCCAAAATGTATTCCTGACTCCATCCTCAATAACAACAGGACGTGATAGAATAGTAGAGAAAAACCCCACAATAAGTATTAATTATAACAATTCTTACTGTAAGAGAGTTTTTACAATGAGAGCAGTCAATCACTGGAGCGGCCTCCCCAGGAGTGTGGTGGAGTCCCCACTGCTGGAGGTTTCCAGATGTGACTGGACAGGTCGCATCCAGGCCCCTTGTCCCATTAGAGGTTGGACCAGATGGTCTTCTGAGGTCCTTCTGACCTGGGCTGTTCTGTGATTATGTGTTTAATGCTTTTGTATTTCCTTAGCCCTGCTCACCTTAGGGTCTCAGCTCACTTTCAAAGACTTTTTTTTTAAAAAAAAACTTGAATGTTTAATTCTACACTTACTGTGTTGTGTTTTACATTCACAGGCATATTTTGAAAACGATAATTCTGGGCCAGATGCTCTCCTTGTTTATCTGTGGGACTGCTGTTACAAGCCAGTACCTAGCAGAACAATACCAAGTGAATACTCCGATGTTTCAAAGTTTTATCAACTATTCTTTGCTTCTTCTAGTTTATACAACAATGCTGGCGTTTAGGACTGGTATGTGAAATATGGGATGGGAGATTCTGGTTCATAATCTTTTTTTCCTCTGTTGCATTTTGCTTTCAGATTTTGAAACAAAAGAACTCCATACTTGTCCTAGTCGTTAAAAGTTTCTGCTGAAATTCCTGCTTTGTAATAACACATGGAAATGAATTTTGCAAGTTAAATGTGTATTAAATATGACTTCATTTTGTATCTGTTTAAAATTATGTGCTCTTTGTTATGTTAGGGAAGATAGGCTTTGTTGTAACAAGCTTCTTTACCAGAGGCTATTTAATATTCCTCCTGTTCTCATTAATTTAGTTGTTTAAACAACTCTAATCTCGTGATTCTTTTTTTTTCCCTCATGTGCAAGAATTTCTCTGCTTTTCACTATTTGCATTGTCTCTTCCCAGGCTGCATTTTGCTGTTATCGTATCTCTCTTAAGCAGGGGCAACCAAAATCAAAATCTCAGTGTCGTTTGTGTTTTTATGCTTCTAAAAAACAAGATTTCTGTGCAACATTTGGTTGGAAAGAAACACATTGATTGCTGCTTTCTTCTAAACAGGAAGTGACAGTCTTTGGCAAATTTTGAAACAGAGATGGTGGAAGTATGTTTTTTTGGGACTGGCTGATGTTGAAGCCAATTATATGATTGTAAAAGCCTACCAATACACAACCCTCACAAGTGTGCAGGTAAGGACTGTTGTCTCTCTTTGAACTGTTGCTTTTATTATAGTTTTAGACTGGTTTCTGAATTGAGATTTATAGGACAGACATGGGAGCTACTTAAGCCTGAAAAACCTTTCCAATATGTATCTTCTCTCTGCAGTACAGGGAAGAGCATCCTGCACCATGAATAACATTTCCAGGAAGCAGAGAAAATTGGCTGGTATTATCCAGTGCCAGCTCTTGAGTTGAACTTTAATTATTCTGATAAAAAGCACTACTAAGAGTTTGCTGACGGCCACTGAGGTTTTCCTTCTGACACAGAAAAAGATTTATGACTAGATAACATTCGCTCAGCACAGGTTCTTGCTGCTGAGAGATCTCTTGGCTACTCCTAGAAGCTGCGGAAGGTGTTGTGAGATGTAATCCCACAGGTGAGGACATACTGATGGTTGTCTGGTGTTGCTCGCTGTGCAGTAAGGGGCCAGATGTATGGCTTTTGGAAGAGACAGGAGGAAGCTTGCCAGGCTTATAAAGTGACAGTAGACATCCTCTGCAGTGCTGCACTAGAATAAGTCTTGTGTTCATAGAATCATAGAATGGCCTATGCTGGAAGGGACCTTAGAGATCATTTAATCCAGCCTCCATGTCGCCAGGGATGCCACCTCTCAACTATATCTGGCAACACATGAGGACTGAACTGGAATAGCTCAATGAGTAGGAGGGGCTGGGCTTTCTTTGCCAGCCTACACAGATATAAGCTGCTAGAAGAGTTAGTGCCTTCAGCCTCCAGCTGCATGCTCCTCCTGAGCTTGCACAGCCAAATCCCATGAGCAAACTGTCTCAGGGCACTGAGCAAAGTCAGACTAACCCCTGCCTTTTGCTTGACTGTTGGTGAGCCACGTCAGGCCCAGGTCAGCTCATGGTGTGGCTCCACAGCTGCTTCTGTGGAACAGGAGACAGGACGATGCAGAAGTGAGGAGGGAGCAGGAGTGGGGCTGTGCCAGTCTATGCCTGCTCTTACTGGTGGTGGATCTGTGGCTGGGGCCGTGGCCCCACTTACTTTAATAAAAAAATAACATACCATATGCTGTTAGTTGAAAAGGAGTGTTTAGATGTCAGTGTTTTACAGGGTCACAATAATAAGGGTTAATATTTAAAAGAATTACCTGCAAGGGCAATAAACTCCTGTGGTATGGGCTCCCTTTAGAGAACCACAGTAACTTCTTTGCTCACCAAAGACCAGTAGTGTGCTTGTTGGATTATTGTTGTCACATTTCCACTTCATACTTAATGTGTCATAACACACTCATTAGGCCTTTGATTTCCTTACAAGTAATGGCTAAGAAATCAAATCTCTCAGAGTTCCAGTCTCAAGATCAAGTTAAGATGATAATTGAGGCACTGTTTGATCATATACTTTACAGCTGGAAAAAACAGGACTTTGATCCAAGTTCTGAGAAGTAGTAAAGCTATTCCCATGATCTCTTTTATAGAAATTAAGAAATAATAGTTAGTTTGCCCAGTTGCCAAACCCTTTTGTTCGCTGAACCTTTTTCCCATGTGGTAACATTCAGACTGATGCTGCTTTGTGTCAGTTCAGTAATTGCGAACTCTGTTGTAACTACACATTGCATTAAGGTTTCTTGCATGTTGTCTGAAGTCACCAGTTTCTCACCACTGTCAGAAACGAGCTACAGGACAAGCAATAGCCTGTGGTTTGCTCTAGCACAAGGCGTTTGCTGTCAGTCGGTAGCAAGCAGTTCTGCAGCATCATCAGAACCTGTGGTTCAGGGCACCCAGCCTGATGGCCCTGTGAGTGGAAGCCCAGGGAGCATAAAAGCAACACAGGAGTATGTGGCACCTTCCCAAATACAGCGTGCTCGCTATTAAAATGCTGGCTGGCTGGAGCTTCAGCTCAGCCCTGTGAAACTTATCTTCAAAGGTCAGTTTTCTCAGCTCAACAGGGAACTTCCGTGTATTTTCTCACACATGCAGACAAAAGCAGAACTCGTTTTCCTTTAGTTATCAAATACCGGCGTTGCACGGAAGGCCTTGGGAGATTTTTAAGGCGATAACGTTGGGATGGCAACTCTCATTTCTCCGTAAATAAAGGAAAAGACTTTGATCCACAACTGAACTCTTCCTGTTCAGCTTTGGTTGAGGAGAGGGAGAATTCTTGCTGCCGGTGTTCTTCTGTCTTGTGGCAGGACTGGACTGTGCTGCTGTTTGGCCACATATTTCATAGTAAGAAACAAGCAGCGTGGGCTGTGGTTTCATGTTGTTAGCACAATTAGCATTTGCTCTGCAGGTAATTTGAGTAGAGGCATTTTACAGGCAGCTATTGACAGAGTATCAGCTGATGAAAGAGGGTTAACCTCAACAGGAGAAAAAGAAGGATGAACCCCTGGGGCTCAGCTGGAGGCTACCCTTAAGGGACCCTTGTGGAAAGTGAGCAGGGTGAGCTGTTGAGCTTTCTTGCTCACTAAGCTGTCTGCAGCTGGCAATTATAAGCAAAGCGATGACCTCCATGATAATTTATTAACCATGTATTAAAACATCTTTTAATAATTTACTTGCTCTACCTTTAAAACCTCCTATAAACAGTGTGGCCAAAGCCTGGCTTGAGTCAAAACATTTGTAAATCAAATCACCATGTTTTTTCTCTCGTAAAATACAAGCTAGAATTGAATAAGTTGAGAGTTTGCTGTGGCTCTGCTGTAAATAGTACTGCAGTACTGCTGTAAATGTCATAAAACCTGAATAAATAAACTTTATTCTTTTAAATGGTTCCATTGACACAATTCATTGAGATACTACATCTGCTCTGTGCCTCTTTGATCTTGATCCACCAAAGAGCTCTGTAAAATACTAGATTAAGGGAAGGCAAGATCCAGTAGTTGGAAATCAGATTTCTTCTGTCTGTAATTGAGTGTAATTAGCCCCTGGAACAGATTACCAGGATGTGTTCTTTATAATTTGGTGCCCATGTGCCCTGGCTGCAAGTCCTCTAACCAGAATGCTGTAGCTCCTCAGTATGTTATTGGTCTGGATGCAGCAATTCCCCATCTGGCATTACTGAAGCAGCTTCTGGCTCATTGGGTACTACTCATTGCATCCTAATGAAGATTTTATTTTTATTTTTTTAAAACCACTTTTTTCTTCTAGTCTTTCTGTTTGGGTTCCAACCTCCAAGGAGGTGGGAAAGCTATGTGGTAATATCTCAGTTAACAGGGAAATGAAACCCTACTTATTAGTGCTTACCCCCTGCTACCAGGGGGTAAACATTAATAAGGAAAATGTTTGTAATATTTCTTGTTGTTTGATACTAGTCAAAACAGTCAAATTTGGAGGAAATGCTACAAGATTTTTCTTGAGACTAGACTAAAGGTAAGGTAGAGACAAAGGCCTGCGACTAGATAGAAACTCACAGCATGATATTTTTCAGTAGAGCAAAGTTGCACTGAAATACATGATACCACACATTAGGACTTGTATGGTTTTAATGTCTCATAATACAGCCTAGGCAAGTGCTTTTGCACTTTACAAATAGAGTTTAGACACTGAACAAGTTGAAAGCAATCCAAGGAGCGAAGACAAAGAGATGGAAGGATTAGAGGCACTGTTAGGATTTAATCTGTAATAATTCACTTTAATGCTGTGCTTGTAAGACTTTAATATGTGTAGTTATGAAAAAGTAAAAACAGATGTATCATAAAAGTCTTATGAGTTTGATTAAAACCTTTGGGCACGATGGTTGAACCAACAGAAAGCGGCACAGAAGAGGACTGCAGCAGTGCCCTTAGGCAGGCAGAGGTTGGCAGTGAATGTTAGGGACTAAGGGCTTTTGTCGTCGCTGTAATGATCATGCCCTGGTCCTATTGACCTGGACCTAATGCTTTGCAGGGACTTGAAGAGGCCAAGTTTTAAAGGATGGCATTTGAGAGTAATTTGTGAGCAATCTTTGGAAGGCTGACTATGTATTTTGCTGTAGACTGTTCCATTATGTAGTTTCATGGCACTCTGCTGAGACAGGTCAGAAAATGCAACTTTTTTTTTTTTTTTCTCAAGACAAATTCAGAGACAAAGTCTGTTTTGTTGAATTAAATATTAAACCAGTTACAACTGGCTTGATGTTCTTGGTATTATTTGCTTATTCTAGAACTTTATGCCAATCTTATACTGCAGTGTATTTATTTTTCTGTTTTAAGTACATAGCTAGCAGTATTTTCTGTTATAAAGGAGAACAGGTGGAAGATGGGCAGATCTAACAGCAAGATAACGATGCGTAGGCTTTAGGAATATACAGAGAAGGGATAATAAAAGAAAGAGAAGTCAGTGTCACACCTTCTCATGGAGTTCAGACATCCTTGAACCATAGCTGCTCAGTCTGCTTGGGGCAGTGTCTGCAAACACATATGAAGTACTTTGAAACTCCGCTGCCTTGTGTGTCTCTGCTGCTGGGGCGTGGGTGCATTAGAGAGGGTTGCCTGCTTCTGATTAACCGACAGTCAGCTCTGACAGAGTAATGAAAATGCCTTGGTGGCCTCTACATGCTTTTGTGAGAATCTGGAATATTGGGAAGGTGACTTTAGGAAACCTGTTCATTCCTTCCTATCTTCCTTCTACTGGTTTTGCACATAGATTCCAGCACATATAACAATTTTATTATTTTTTTAGTAGGATCCAACTGGGGGTAAAAACCCCATCAAAACCAGAACTGCAGGGTCTAGTCCTAGTCCCTTCAGTGTAAAATCAGATTATTTGTATCCTTCAATAGTTCCAGATTTTTACTTTTTGTATATGGAGCCCTAAAGTCTAATTACAAATTTGAGAAGGAGTGAAAAGATGAGCTTTTTCCAACTGGGGAGAAAAGGAAGTGTTGATGAACCACCTCCCTGTATTGACATCATGGGGTGCAACGGGAGTTTAGAGCAACATCCTGGCATTCATTTGTGAAGCTGCAAAAATTAATTAGATCCATCACTAGAAGAGTTTCTAGATCAGTGCCTTCCTACCGGGAGAGAGTGGATCCCCACCCCAGCTCCTCTTTCACTTGCAAAATGCTGTTAGTGACTTTCGTTAACATCTGATAGTTATGGAAAGTAAGAACCTGTACATTTCTTTTTTGGGACAACACAGTCCAGATCTGGGATGGGTTTCTAATTCCAGCCATTTCTCTGTACTCACAGCTGCTGGACTGTTTTGGGATTCCTGTGCTGATGGCTTTGTCATGGTTCGTTCTCCGTGCAAGATACAGACTGATCCATTTTCTCGCTGTTGCCATCTGTTTGCTGGGTGTAGGAACAATGGTGGGTGCAGACATTCTGGCAGGCAGGCAGGACAGTGAAGGTAAGGAGTCCTCTATTGCGGTGGGGAAAGAGCGGAGAGATCGTTCCCGTGGTGGGCTGACTTGTAAAGGAGAAAATGCAGAGAGAGTGAATATACTTTTATTGTAAAAGAGAAGAGAAGACACTCTGCTATTGGTATTTCTTGTCCAAGAAGATAGTGGCTGAGGAACCACTGATTTTGTAAGGAGCTGTGAAATTTATTTGCTTGTAAGTTTGGATTATTTCTTCCACCTTAGAAGAGAAATGCTCATGTTAACGTTAAATTTTGCGGCTCTTCATCAGACCTGATGAAAGCCCTCATTCTTGAGAGCTTGTTCACTATTACTAATCATGCAAGCTGGTCTAATAAAAGATGCTGCCTCTCTGTGCAAACCTTGTCTTGCTTGCACGGTATCAGCCTGCAGACAGCTAGGCTTCTCCAATTTCCATTTTTCTATGAGCACAAATAGCAAATCAAAAGTTACTCAACAGCCGCTTACTTCTCTGTCTTTGGCAGACCCAACAAAAATGATCTGCATACCCCATGAGCCCACAGGTCACAGCCTGGAAAGCAGGGGCTGACTATGGGAGAGCAAGAATTGACATGGGCAGGATGCTGGGATCGATTCTTGGGACCCCCGGGAGGGCGGCTGGGCTCTGGGAGCCAGAGTCCATCTGGGTACTGATAAAGGCAGGTCTCGTTTTCTCTGACAGACGCCTAAATCAACCTATATCCTAAGAATGTTGAGTTTTCAGAGCCAGAGGGTCTGAGGCAAGGTAAATTTCAGGGCACTGCCTTCATCAGGCAGCATGGAGATAAGCCTGTGTGGTGGTATTACTGTAGGTAAGACATCACGACAAACTGAGGTTTAGCTTTAATGCTACGTGGTACAAGTATCTTGATGCTGTGGGAGAAAAAACATCTTTCCCTGAGACTTTGGGTTGTGCTTTATTCGCTGACCTGGGTATCCTCACTACTGCTTACCCTCATATTTCAGATGTATTTTCTTAGTGGTTGCCAGCTGGCTGAGGCAAGGAAAATTTAAATCAATTTGAGGACTTAAACAACAGCGATCCTCTTGCTATTTAGCTGATGCATAATGGCATTTATTGATGAGTGATTGTATCACAGGGAGTCCCATTTGCACAGTATAAATAAATCAGACGCAGCAGGACACACGATATCACCCATCTGCAGTGCCCTCTTAAGGCCTGTCATAAACCTGAAGCTAACTCCAGGTCTCGCTGAAATCAACAGAGTGATTTGAGCAAAACTTGAATGAGGCCTTAGTGCAAAAAGGGGAGAAATATTCAGAAAGATGGAAAGAGCATCTCTATCCAGGAATTTTCTCAAGTCCCTGCAGTGCCCAAGGTCAGCAGAAGTAGAATTGTCCGTGCTCAGAAACCAAGCCGCTCATCTGCACACACTGAAGATGTTTCCTTTCCCCTTGTACCCTGGAAGGCGCTAGGAACATGTTAGAGATAAATTTGCTTGTCTTTTTCAGGAAAGTTACAAAGTGTTTGCAGCATTACCCTTATTGTGGATTAATATTTCTGTACAGGTAGTGACGTGGTGATTGGAGATGTCTTAGTGCTTCTTGGTGCTTCTTTGTATGCCATTTCTAATGTGAGTGAGGAATACATTGTGAAAAATCTGAGCAGAGTGGAGTTTCTAGGAATGGTGGGCTTGTTTGGGACTATTATCAGCGGTCTACAGCTGTAAGGATCTAATATTTATTTTAAAACTAATTAAGAATATTCTACAGATGATTGCTTGTCTACCATGAAATGATGTTGTTGTTATTAAATTAATTCTTTGTTACGTCTGCATTTGGCCTATGTGAGAGTCCTGCCACTTCAATTGTATTTTGGTTGCTGATCAGGGTCTGTTTTACATCCTTTTTATTTGCACTGATCTTATTACAGCACTTTTAAAGCTGAAATCCTGCAATTGAACACATATGGTACTTGACTGTATTTTTGATTTTGTTGATCTCCATGAGGACAGTGTGCTGAGAATTGTTCAAAGGAATGTATTTCTTAATGGATTTTCTCTGTGGAGAAGAGAGCTCTTCTTCAGTTTAAGCAGGAGCTCTTCTTCAGTTTAAGATGAAGCCATGTATACTCTTTCAAGCAACCACGTTAGAGTAACAGACCACATGCATTTAAGTCTATCTAATGAATTTTATGTTCCTCATTTCTCATCATTATAGTTAATAATTTCCTCAAATGGTATATCAGATAAAACTATCTCTGAAGGATGAAAAAGCCTGGGAAGAAGGCATAAGAATTAAATACAAGCACTCTTGACTTTCAGGCACTTTACTTTTCAAGTCTTTTTTTCATGCTTGTTAGAGTTAGTGTCATTCAATAAAATTTCAAATAAAAATTTAAGGGATTATAAATCAGTGTTTTTATATATTTTGGTAATTAAATTATTTGAATATGATTTTTTTCCCCTCTTTTACTGTATCTTGTCTCTAACTCTAGAGCCATTGTGGAACACAAGGAGATAATGAGAATCCCATGGAACTGGAAAATTGGTATGTGTATGACAAAATGATGTCTGTTTTTACAGAACACTGGAAAATTATGATCATTTATGATCACATGCTGGGCTGTTCGTTTTCTTTCTCTGGTTGTTGAGTGGGATTTGCTGTATTGTCACAAATTTATTTTCTACAAACTTTGCAGCTCATCAAAAAGAGGAGGCTTGCCCGGATTGAACAGGAAAACCTTTGAGCTCGTATAACATGAAATACTTTTTTTCAAAATAAATTGAAATAAGTGAAGATTAAACCTGTTTAGTTACAGACATGTTTGGTGTTGGAACATCACAAGAACATTCTTCTGTTGTTCATCCTAAAGGACATACTGGAAAAATGAATTTTTGGACACATTTTAACTTCAACAGAGTTGTATGTTATTAAGAAATGCGGCTCTTCATTTCTTCAGTCAGCTCGTAGTTTAACTACGAATGAACAAGAACTTTCTAGTATAGATAGAGTAATTTTTGCAGTACAGGATAGTTTTGGAAAATAAGTATTTCTTCCATGTTTGCCTTAAATTTACATTCCTGTATCTTTTAGATCTCATCCTAAAAGATAGATACGCATCATTTTAAAGCATCTGAAGAATATCAGTGTTCTTTAAAGTCATTGTGCCGTGCCTTAGATGTAAATTGTCGTCTTGTTTTACAGTATTACTGTTTCTAGTCTTCGCCCTGTGCATGTTCGGGCTGTACAGCTTCATGCCAGTAGTGATTAAAGTTACCAGCGCAACCTCAGTCAACCTGGGTATTCTTACTGCAGATCTCTACAGTCTGTTCTTCGGGCTTTTCCTCTTTTTCTATAAGGTAAGTACCCTCGTTCTTTCACCGTAATTTCAGTTACATTTTGACTCCAAAATTATGAATCCAAAATCTCCTGAACAGTTCCTTGCAGTTCTACATTTCTACAGCTTGTATCGTTCGCCATTGGCAGATGTCAGTCAGGAGGAATCATACTTAGTTAATCACACAGCATTGCGTCTTAGGCAGATAATGATTTTCAAACTTTAAGAGACAGTAATAGTTTCCCCAGTGTGTTCAAATCATAGAGTTCTTGCCCTAAGCCCTGCATGGAACTTTACATTTGATTAGTTCATCTCTCCAAGGGTCCAAAGAGGGTTTGAATCTCCCTGTCCTGAAGGGCATTTGGTTTCTGAGGGAGAAAAAGTTTGGCTTGATTTCTAAAAATTATTATTTTCTTTTAGAAATTGAATCTGTTTGTTACCAGTGTCTTGGCATAAGAATCAAGCTCTGTCAGTGCTGCTACAGAGAGACCAAAGGAGCTGAAAAAAAATGCAGATAACTATATTATTCTGTAGGCTTTCTGAAAGGCAGTTACTTTTATTGTGCCCTAAATTATTGTTAGTAGTGTCTAGTCAAGCTAAATGATAGTGCTGCACTTTTCATCCAGAATAATTTGTGGGAACCTAGCTCATTACAGCAATTGCAGTAATTGAGTCGCTCAGTGACTGGAAGGACTCAGTGAGAAGCTTGTGAACTTTCCTTAAGAACTTAATTTGTATTATTCCATGTGGTTGCTTTCTCTTTAGCATTATAGAGAGCCAGAAGCTTTTAGGTCAGATTTGTTTCTGAAAATGAAGGCAAATTTATTTTACAGCATGGAGGTCTGGTAATGGTAGGGCCTGACAGCAGCTAGATTTTCCTTTTCAAGAGTCTCTTAGCTCAACTTTCCTCCCTGTTTTGGGTTCCAAAACTTGCTCCAAGCTACAAAGCATCCATTAAAAATGAATGTAGGAAGCGAACCATACTTACATTCTAACAATTAAAAAAATTGTATCTAAGTTGCTTCCAAACATGTATCTTGGCAGCCAGACACCTCAGCTCAAGAAATGATTATAAATTTATATTCATAGCAGTAAAAAGGAGGAACTAATCAAGACCTTTGGAAAAGATATAATAAACTTTATTTTTTCAGAATTTTTAGCTTATTTTGGGGAGAGGTTTTTCTGAGAGCAGATCATCTCATAATTATTTATTAAAATAGGAACTTGCATCTGTGGTTAAAAACAATGAAGTAGCAAAGAGGGAAGCAATAAAAATGCCTCATCTTTAGTATCAGAGGGTCTGGGACAACTTAGGAATGAAGAACTGAGAGTGCCTTATTTTAACATGGTTTTAACATAACACTTAGCAGTAGAAGATCTTGCTGCCAATTTAAGCATATAATTTCTTTACCTGTGGGGCAAAGAAACCAGGCAGGACATTTCCTGGATTAAAAAGCACCCTGGACGCAGGAATCTACAAACAAAAATGCAAGAAGTTACTCTGTATACCACATTACCAGATGATATTTCAGACCAAACTGCTGAAGATTTGGCCGGGCTGCAGAGCCCGTGGAGGGCTCTGCATTGCCGTGATCTGAGCTTACTCTGAAACAGAAGCAGCACAAACGTACAGTGGCCATGACGGAGACCATTGGCCCCAGGAATTCGTGAGGTTTTGACTTGTGCACAGTATTTTGCTAATGCACGCAACTTTTCCGCCCCAAGTGTGTCAGTTCAAGGTGAAATGTGAATTTTATGTGCCTGGTTTTTGTTTCTTTTGCTCCATAATGAATCTTTGATGTGCTTGCTTCTGATGAGCTAATTACAATAGGTACCTGTAATCCCTCAAGAGGCATTGAAAAAGATCTTCAAATGGCTTTCTTGTATAAACTCCTATGGAAGGGGGTGTGCTCCACATACAGTCACTAGATGGAGTTATAGTCCTCCAGTAACACTTAAAGGAGTCCTTAGACTTGGTTGTGAGAATGGGGATATAAGCTGCCTATGCACCACTGAAATCAGTGTCTGAGGCGAAAACAAAACCAGAAAAGACCAGTGACCACATCCTTGAAAACAAAAGAAAAAAACTAAAAAAAAACAACAAAACAACACAGAGGAGCACAGGAGCCCAGACTTGTTGGAGTGGCGTGATTAAAGTTCATGTGTGTCAGTAGCTGCAAACACAGGGTCAGGCCTCAAACCACGGCTACGCTGCAACAGCTTTGGCACCCTGGCTTGGTACCTGTGTATCTGCTCACGGGGGAGTTAATTCTGAGCAGAGTCAGAGACACTACTGCCGTGAGACGGGGTCTGGCAGTTCCTGTGCCTGCCCAGCTTCACCTGCCAGCGCGTGTCCTTGTGTACAGGCACATATATTCACTTGTGGTTGCACTCCAGAGAAGTTGTGCCTGTGCCTTAATACAGACCCGGGCTCTTCCCATCTGATGGAATTGGGTCAATCAGAGGTAGAACCAAGGGTGCTGCTCCATGAGGACATCTTCAGAGCTTGGTGCTTCCTCCTGTGCAGGGTGAATGCTTGAGTCTGAGCTCCTCCAGGAAGACAGCCAGCAAGGTGAGGAGAGAGGACAATGTATCACAAGGCCACTGTATTTCAGTCTGCTTTTCATTTTGCAGGGAAGGAGTTTCCAAGCCAAGTAACTGCCAGCTAGGCATCACAATGCCTTAACTGTAGATGCTTGTCTCTTGGATCAGATTCCACAGACTAGGTCCTACCATTCTTTTCCCACAGCTCTATTGCTTGATCTAGATCATATTTTCCAAGCACGTCGGAGGAAGCTAAGGAGGTTAGGGGCTATTGGCAGCAGGATGTTGGATGTGCTATGTCCTTCATCCTACTGTTTCATCAGTGTGAATTGGCAAAGGCAATATGGAGCATTTTAACAAATCTACTGAAGAGGTGTTCCTGGCTATGAGTAACTTGAACACTTTGTATTGTTGAATCTGGTGTTATGAAGGATTTATTTTTCTGTCAAGTTGGATGAATCTTGGCAAATACTGGGCTTTTAACAGACAAGTGAACGATAGGGAATCAAATGCCTGGTGTACCTCAGCAGTTCATACTCATACCTCACACTGTGCATAACAGAGCACAAATGCTTGTCTTGTAAAAGGAGCCTCAGTCTCTCTCGCTCTTCAAGGACTTCCTGGGTGTAGAGAACAAACTGCTTTTGTTCCAGTGGAAACATTTATCTAGTTCTGCAGACGGTTAAGAGAGCTGTGTGGAAAACCAGCTGCTCTGGTGACTTGCAGTAGGATGGGGAGATTCATCTCTTGCCAGGACCCGAAATATTTGGCTGTGCCAAAACAAAATTCTCTTTGGGGTACAGCGTTACAGCATTCATGTGTGTAAACAGCTATCTTTCAATATCGCCGTGTTTACAGTTCTCTCTCTTAAGATTCTTGTGTGTAGACCTAAGGAAACTACCTGTCCCACGGTGTTGAAGACGAGATGAGATGCAGAGAAAACCAACCAGCACTTCGAATCTGTCAGTGAATGGAGCTGTTGAATTTTGATTTTTCAGGCCTGAGTACAGATTGTGGCAATAGTTCTCTTTAAAGTAATTTTAAAAAGGAACGGTAGCATTTACATTCTCAAAACAAGGCAGTGTTGACATGGTTTTTACATCAGACACAACTTAATGCATCTCTTTCTTTCGTCTGCCAGTTTTCAGGTCTTTATATCCTGTCCTTTGTTATCATCATGGTGGGATTCATCTTATATTGCTCCACTCCAACTCGGACAGCAGAACCCACTGCCTTGCCACAGCCCAGCAGCACTGGCTTGGACAATGCTGCACTAAAGCTCGAGGAGAATGACAGCGAAACTCCGGCCATAACTGTACAGTTCACAACAGGAGAAACTGTGGTGGTCAGCACTGATTAAAAAAATGGCAGCGTTTCAGAATGAAGCTTTTTTTTTTTTTTTTTACTGCAAAATGTTAATTTGGAGAGTTGTTCTACTGCCAAGGCATACATCATGCTGCACTGGTTTCAATATACTCGAGGGACTTTTAAGGCCAGGTCCTCAATCAGTGAAGCTGTATTGATTGGTAAATCAGAAAATCTGGCCCTTAGAAGAAGACAGAATGATATTTATGTGGAGTCTCTGGAAAGTGAGAGACTGTTATTTTTAAATTCTTAATTAATTTAGCAGCAAGTGCTTGGGGGGAAAAACTAAGCCAAAGCAAGCTCCCAGATCACTAAGTGGAGTGTGTATGTTTTATATTGCATTAGGGACCAAAATCTGCAAGATACTATCCAAGGGCTTCATGATTCCCACATCTCAGAGGCACGTACCCTCAGACAGCATCTTGCAAAAGCCACTGAGCTTGTCACACGATCTAGTTCTGCAAGCTGTATTACGTACGTACGCCTTCCACATCCTGACGGACTTCATTCCTCCCCTGGAGGATTTGCTTCTTACACTCCACCCAAATGTTCATCTCTTCATATTACAGCACTTCCTGTCGCAGCTGGGGCTGCTATGAGTATTTTTATTTTGAGTTTTATGTGTGGTTTTATAATCCCTTCTTTTTTTTTTTCCTCTGAGAGCCTGTTGTTTGTGGCCTGTTGTTTGGTGCATTCCCACTAGGTGGAGGAAACAAAGTCAGGCCCTTGCTCTGTTCAGTAAGAACGATTTTTTGTTTTGTTTTGCTTTTTTTAATCTGGATGAGACAGCAAAAGGCTTTGAACTGAAGTTCATTTCTCACCGAATTGCTCCTTGAAATGAGACATGTTTCTGCAGAAAGATTTGAATAAAACTGAAGTAACAGGACATGTTTCTGCAGAAAGATTTGAATAAAACTGGAAATTCTTAAACTGAAGCATTTTAGTGAATACTTATTGCAACAATAATGATGTAATCTCCGAAAGGTTAAGTGCTTTCAGGAGATTCATTGACAGTTTTCCTCTCCCTCTTCATATTTACGCTAAATGATTAAAAAATACGAGGCTGCAGTTTTAACATCAGTAAAAACATACTGGGATTTTACTTTATCCTTTTGTACAACTCAGGTGCGTGAAGTAACAAAATAATAAAGTTTTCAGCAGCTGAAGAGTTGGCTCTTGGTTTGGTTTGTTTTTTTTTTTAAGCTAGAATTCCTCAAAATTACATTAATTAATTAATTTTACTGACCAAATGATTCTTTTTATGGCTGGGCTTTGCCATAAGAAGCAAATGTGCTGTTTTGTGAAGATACTGGTAATCATATGGCACAGATGGGTTTTGTGTACTTCTGGTGTAGTTTATTTAAGCAAAATTATCCAGGAAAAATCTTACCTTATTTTATTTAGCAGTAGCAAAACAAATGTTCAGCAGATACTGTAGCAACAAACAATGCCTTTTCACTGAGTATTTCGTGCATGAGGAGGTGAAGAGGTGCTGGTATTTTATGAAAAGCATTTGGGCCCCAGTATCTTGTGCTTTACCACTGGAGTAAGAGTCAGGTCATACACCTGAATCTGGTGCATCCTGAACTGGTGCATCTATAGACATACGTGCATTGAGAGCTGAACAAGCAGTTGAAGACCAGGTGGTGTAAGGAAGGATGATGGCAGTAGATACCTAAGAGGGGCCATCTGGATGAAGTTGTAGTGCTCCATAGCAAATTTTAGTTGCTTGCGCCCTGGAGCTAAATCCCACCTGCTGTTACCCATGTGATTTATTAACTCTGTGCTAACATTCTATGATTCTATAAAACAGCAAGCAAACCTATAGGTGAATGTTGCAGAACTCTGCTCCTAAATGTAGCTAGTCATATATTTTGTGCAAAAAAGCTTCTGAGGTCCTGTCTAAATTGTCTCTCTGAGGGGCATGATTTAGTTGTCTCGTTGTCAACTCATGCACCCTATGGAGTCTGTGGCATCTCTGTGGGCTGGCAGAGGACCCAGTATCTAGACGAGACCTGTGACTTGGAGCAGATCGTGGAGGCCAGATGAGATGCCCTAGGATCTCTGAAATGGCACTGCAGCCTGTGGTTGAGACACTCAGCACTTCCTTGATGACTGCACGGGGCCGTATATGACTACTTCAGATGCTTAACCTTTACACAGCTAGAATTGGATGCCATGAACCCCAGATGAAGCTTATGGCCCCACCTGCACTATGTTCTTTCTGTGGTCGCTGGGTGGCATGTCAGCATCTCTATTGGTGTTCGCTAACCAGCTCTGTGTGTGTCCAGTGGTTGAGAGTGAGCTTTGGTGTGTCTGCATGTCCCATATGTAACCTGATTTGAGCAAATTGTGCCAGACAGGACTTCTTGCTGAGCCGCGTCGAGAGGGGAGCGGTGCAGGGCAGCATGCGGGCTCAGATTCCCCATCAGATTCGCCAGGATTCCCCATCATTCGCTCAGATTCCCCATCAGATTCGCCAGGACAGCTTAGCGATTTGGCGGATGTATATTCTGAACTGAAACCTTTAGAACTCTGTTTCACAGATACAGGCTGTGATTTAACTTTATACAAAAGATTTCTGTGCCATGTGTTGATAGCAAATATTACGATGTGTATTAATACCACCAAGAAGGTCTGGAAGGCCTTTGAAGCTTTCAGGAAGGATGAGGTTGATATTTTTTTTGATGAATCCTTTTGTCAATGACCCACTGCCCTTGCCATCCCCATGATGCAAGACTTTTGTTTCCCTTATTGTGACCCTGCTGGAGCCCCAGGCTGCCAGTCAGCCTGGGATGGTGGCCAGCCACATGCCAATGGCTGTGCATGATGGATGCCCTACCCTTCCTCACCCTAAATTCCTACTCCCGTAGTATTCCCCTCTGGAATAGCTACATGAGTGAAGAGGAGGCAAAGCTGGCTTGCAGAAGGGCTCGGCATCACAAACTGTGATCCAAGCTCTGGACAGAAGTACTTGAAGCCCTAAGCACTTGAAGCTGGTCCCCCAAACCTGCTCTGCATGGGATGGGGGCCAGATATACCACCCCTACTCACTGTTGGTCCCACAAATCAGAAGGAAGCAGGTGCAGATTCTATAAGAAAGTTGCATTTCTTCAGAGTGCAAGTGACACATGTATTGCTCCCAGGGAAACAAATGTTCGTTTAATGAATTGCATATGCCAGATCATCTGATACCTCTGAGAGAAGGTGCATGGACGAGTCTTTAACCTGTATCTTTTTAACACTGGAATAAGAAAAAAACCAACAGCTGTCACTTGCATTAAACCCAAGTATCCAAATAAAAATATGTGACATCCAGCCCTGCCCCCCCACCCCAGTTTGGTTACAAGACATCAAAAATAATGTGGTGTCAGAATGTCATGGTGTGTTGGAAAAAGGAAAAAATCAGTGTGGCAGTAATTGAGTGGTGACATTCTCTGTGCTAGAGTTTGAGGGAGAAGATGAGCTTTTGGCCATCAGCTATTTTAAGGTTTTTGACCTTTCCTAAGTCACACGTACTCAGTTCTATATGATGTGATGTCTGGGACAATCGTATCAGTTCTCATCAGCACCATTCACTCAGACTTTTTGTATTGTGGGATATTTCATTGTGTTATATATGTGTTTTAAATATCTATTTTGATCAATTTAGCACAAACTACATGGTCAGTCATGAACAATTTTGAGCAAGCAGAGAGAGATTCCTAAAAAAGCCAAGTGAAGGCTCCTGGGACTGTCTCGGTCTTTCACCAAAATACGGCCTATTACAGATTCACAGAATCACAGAATGTTAGGGGCTGGAAGGGACCTCAAAAGATCATCTAGTCCAGCCCCTATTGGCAATTTAAGTGTTAGACCTGATGAGAATCTAATGAGCTGTGATCTTGCAGCGTTAAATTTTTAACTTGAGGCTACACTTAAACCTACACTCATCAGACAAACATCATCTGAAGTGTTGGAGTCTCTCTTTGCAGTCCTTGGAGGCAGCAATTCAGCCCCTTGGAGATGCCAGTATTTTACTGAGAATTCTTGTTTTGGGTGCCTAGTTTTAGGTGGAACCAAGCCAAGTTTAGACACCCCAACCAAGTGCGATGTCCCATTCTTACGGGCATTGGTGTCTGTAGTAAGGAGCTATCCAAGCTGGGAATTGTAGAATATATGTGAGAGTTGAAAGAGGCACAGAGAGATTTACTTAGCAGCTGTGGCAAGCCCACGTTCAACAAGACTTGTGTGCGGTGGTATTTAAAGTGTGCATGCTTCCCTCCTTGCCAGGTACAATTTAATTTTTCTCTTGTATAAGAGCATTCAAGATGAAAAAAGCCAGAAGAAAAAGCCAGAAGGAAAAAATCTGATTTTTTTTTTGTACAACACAGGTCAACACATTGCATCTGATTGTTCAAAATCAAATGTGTAGGTTAAGTTGCAGCATCTCTTTAAAATCTTGATATTAAATTCCCAAAGCACTATCAATTTTTTCCATGAGGTAACTCATGGATATATAAGGAGCAAATAGGGAAAGTTATGATTCTCAGAACTCTTGAGAGTACACAGCCTCCAAGAGCAGGTTCCCATGCCCTTCAAGACCAAAGTATTTTTGTTAAGCTACCAGTTGGGAACAGTTGCAAGATATTTTCATCTAAAGTGTATGGCCTGGGGTCAGTATCATCAAACTCAAGCATGTGACATCACTCTGTTCAAAATAAACTATTTTACCAGCTTGATTCCAGTCTTCTTTAGCTGTCGATACCATGAGCAGAGCTTGTACAGCAAGGCAGAAAGATTACTGGGAAAACAGGTGAAAGGTGTGTTTTGTTCTCATAAATCACGGCGCTGGAGTGTCCAGAATACTCCAAAAGAACAGACATTGTATATGAAACTCCATTACAGACAACTTCCAAAGAAAGCAGTAAAGAGGGCGGCTAAAAAAAATTGCAGAGAAGTATTACTGTACAAAATGAAATTTTCATGTTTATTTAAGAATGCTAAGATGTTTTTACAGAAATACCAAAGTTTATTATGTGCTAATGGCTGGAAAAAGAGCAATTTCTCTGGAAGTACATGTCACTGAAAGTTTATGTAAACA